ATCACCATTGGAGGCTGGACAATTGGACAGCTTGGATTGCAGATCGTGATCATTGGAGTTCGTGAATCAACAAAGGGTTTTACAGAATTCATCAAGGTATAATTCTAATCACAGTTTCTATCTAAACACATTGCAGATCCTTGGTGGGAATTGAAAATTATTTTATTTTATGCTGTGCATGTTAAGTAAATTCCCAACAGCCTTGATGATGGGACCAGCACCTAACTGGTATCTACCATCGACGCACGGCACGTGTCGGGTCCATTATGGTGATTCGGGACAGGTCGTGTCATTGATAGTTAATTATGATAAGATCCCAAGCAATTTGTCGGAGTCTCAGTCTGTTGAAGCAAAAGAAAAAGAAATTATAGTTGAATTGATGAATAAGAATGAAAATACAAGTTTGGCAGGTTTTTGAGAGACCTCTGTCTCGCCCCTCTTTTCCGAACAATATGAATGAATTGCAGACCCCCTCCCCCATTTATTCAGTTAGTTATTCCTCTCCTCTCCCTCCCCCCATGAAAATTTAGGGACTTTACAAAAATATTGGAGCAGGAACTACCATGCATGTGTTGCACCCTATATAAATCCCATAATCAATTCTTAATTTTATCAAACAAACGTCTTCTAATTAATAGGCATAGCTCTTTATCTAAAAAATACATTTCTCTCTGCCATGGGAGTCTACAAGAGCTCCTCGTCTTTACCCAGCTATTGTTTTATTATTCATAAAAAAATTGCAGATAACGAAGATATTAGACCATCTCTTGTTGCGTGCAGAGCTACTCCTCAGAAGTGGACCATTCTCGAAGAAACTTCTGACCTCTCTAAACCCCATCAAACCATTCTACGGGCAAAGTTTTAAGGTTATTCATGTTCTAAAACTATTATATATATATTACGTGTCGATGCATATTCACGAAAGCAAAAAACCAGTCTTACTTGCAAGATGAATTTTCCATGGAATATGAACAAAAACTGAAGGACGTGAGGAAATTATTGAAATCAAAGGAATTAGAAAATCAAATAGAAAGCTTAATGTTGGTGGATGCTATCCAGCGACTAGGTGTTGACTACCATTTTCAGGAAGAGATTGAAGCAGTTCTTCAGCGACATTATATGGAAGCAACCACTTCTTTTGATGGATTCTCCTATGAAAGGAAATGGCACAATGAT